CTGCCCAGATCTCATTTCAAAGCCAGAGTCTGCTGTACATCTTAGCCATTGCTGTCCCCACTGTTTCATATAAATTTACATATAAATGTCACAAAAAGATTCAAATTTCCCTGGAGCTATTTTTGGTTTGCTTGAGAGGAACATAAATTTCATTAGTTTGAAGGAAATGCCGCTGATTTTGTTAGTATTATTCCTTTTTCAAAGCAGTCTGGCCCTATTTTCACTTTCAATTTCATGTATAAGAAGAAATTAAAATTTCAATTTGTGTCTTAAATGGACCCTAGAAATTATTTCTTGGAAAATCTGGGAATAACTTCATTGTTTATTGTTTACAAAAACAGGAAGCTTCATTGAAAATAAAGATTTAAAATGTTAAAGACAAGTGAGAACAAACTGGCAACCCTTCTTAGTGACAGCCTGTGAAAGAATCTTATTTGGGTTTGGGCTTTAAATCATCCAATGATTCAAAAATGACTGCAAAAACCATGAGATGACTGATACATAGGACAGGCACCAGTTCTGACTTCATAACAAACATTAGGTTTGCCTGTTCATAAATTTTGCATAAGTAGACTCACATAGTCTCTATTCTATTGTGTTCAGTGAGTCTGCTCAACATTATGATCGAGTTGTTTATCCATTTTGTTTGATGTAACTAGAGCTTGGCAATTTCCATTGCTATAAATCTTTCCATTTAACCAATATACCACAATTTGTTTACTTATCAATGGTGGATGGATGCTTAAAATGCTTTCACTTTAGAGCTAGTATACATATTCTTGCTATTATTATTCTCAGTAAGTTTTATGTGTGTACAGGAAAAACATATCCATCAGATGTATAGTTACATATCAAATGGGCATTCAAAGAGTCCATTTATTTACCTTAGGAGATAATTCAAATCATTAAGTTGTCCAATGTGTACTTTAACCCCAAATTATAACACTTTCTAAAACAGAAATAGTTTTCAGGGGGATAAAGATTTGTGTATACTTAATACCTCTTTATATGGAATCTATTAGTTGGAAATGATGTACAATAGAAACTAGCAAAATAATGACTGGAATAATCTTTACTATAACTGAAATTTGTGATTAAACCATTTCTGAAGTATCTAGAGAAGCAGAAGCTGATGTACAGAGGACAAGAGGAACAGAACAGAGAGAAAGAAATAAATGGGATGGAAGAAAGTATTTACATTCTGCCAAACTTCCATAATATGGAGAATGTCCTTTTAATAACCAGAATCCAGGCCATTTTGGAACCTAACCCTTAGAGAGACTTGGGGGATCCTGAAATCAGGGAATTCACAGCCTTGGATACTTCCTGGTGTCCACATCATTCTCTCTCTCTCTCTCTCTCTCTCTCTGCACTAATGCTGGTTCTAAAGGCTTCGGAGGAATAATAATAAGCAGTAAAAATGTAAATAAATAGCTTTTATCAAATAGTCATATTGATCTATTACTAAAGTCAACATTTTAAAACTTCTTAATCTACAAGGACCATCTCTGACAAGTTTTAAAAACATATATGAGGAGCACTTTTTGCAGTAAAAGTTAATGACAATCTATTGAGGTATGTCAATACCACAAATCAGATATCATGGACCACAGAGGAAGGTCAAAGGTATCTCTTTTTAAACTTCATGGTAGGATCTTTGAACCAATAGAGAAGATGTTCTCACTGACTCTTTTATTCATGGAATGATGAATGACCCAGACTCAAGGGCTATACTCACAGGTAGTGTCTGTCACCATTACTGATTTGACATAAGCAAAGGATGCTCTTTTAATGGAGTCAGAGGGACAGAGATACAGACATCTGTGAAATTAATGTCTAAACCCACATTTGCAACTAGAACTTGATATTCTGTAAACTCTGCTTAGAATAATTTTCACTCTCCCCTTCCCACCTACTCAACCAGCTCTATTCTGCCCTCAGATTACATGTAACCTCCGAGAGATACTTTGTCTAATTACCCAATCTTCTTTATCCACAACTTCTTCTCCAGGGAGGCAGGATGTCATATCAGGTTATAAATATGTCCTACTATGGACATAAGTATGTATGCACTAAAAGAGGAAAAAAACAATGAATGTATGGAGCTATTCTGTGGAAAATTCTCCCCATCAACAGACATGTAAAATTTTTTTTTTTTTGGAAATTAGAAATATTTTAATTGGATAATAATAAAAATACAACATATCAAAATCTGTAGGAAGCGGCTAAGCTTTAAAGGAAAGTAAGAGCATTATATATTTACAGTAAAAAAGAATAAAATCTCAAATTGGTATTCTAAGATTTTACCTTTTTTTTTTTAAATTTTTTATTGTTGGTTGTTCAAAACATTACATAGTTCTTGATATATCATATTTCACTCTTTGATTCAAGTGGGTTATGAGCTCCCATTTTTACCCCATATACAGATTGCAGAATCACATCAGTTACACATCCATTGATTTACATATTGCCATACTAGTGTCTGTTGTATTCTGCTGCCTTTCCTATCCTCTACTATCCCCCCTCCCCTCCCCTCCCCTCCCCTCTTCTCTCTCTGCCCCCTCTACTGACATTCATTTGTTCCCCTTGTATTATTTTTCCCTTTCTCCTCACTTCCTTTTGTATGTCATGTAAAATTTTAAAGTGGGGAAACGTTCATCATCTTGGCTCATTTGTTTTCTCTAATTATTTTAAGTTTTAAAAATCACTACTTTTCAAATCATTACTGAACAAAAAAAAAAAAGGAAAAAATTGAAAATCATGGAAACATCTTTTCCAACTATTATGCAACCCAAACAATGACTTCTAAGGAATAAGCACTTGAAATATTACAGTCTCTAGTTATCTTATATGCCAAGGACCTTTAAGCCAATGATAAAAGGTATATAAACAAGTATCCATATGTCTGACTTGGGAGGATCTAGAAAATAAAATTTGCATGGAATTGCTGAAGACTAAGGTAATGGCAAATGTGTCTTTTCAATCTCCCTTCTTCATGTACCTTCTGCAAGCCACTGATACTGGCTTGCCTGCTTTACTGAATCTTGAAAAGTCAAGATTGCTATGACTTTTGATTTTGGTGTCCTAATTAGGTTCACTGAGTCAGTTACCATATATCTAGCGTGAGTCACATTTCAAGAAGAGCCTTATGCCTCCACTGATTTTTATCAAGCAGAAACCCAATACCAATCTGGCTCTTGCCTTTGGCCTTATGCATAAAAGTTAACAAAGGAAAAAGATACAAACAAACAAACAACAACAACAACAAAAAACTATCTTCATAAAGTAATTTCCTGTAATTTTTCTATTCTTCACAAAGGAAACTAAATCTACTTGTAATACATACTGAAATATGTGGAAGATATACATTGGGTCATATTCACCACTGTATCTCCAAAAACAAAAGAAATAAAGGAAGAAAAGTACCAGAAATTACATGATTTCTGTGCCCAAATATGCTCCAAATGATGATTAATTAAAAATGCGTTTTTGGTACATAAAATTTATTTTATTTTGATTTCTATAACTTATTTTATTAATCAGTATTTTAATTGGACATATTTATGGGTACACAGTGGGGTCATTAGGTAGATACATGTATTCAATGTGTGATCATCAAATCAAGGTACTTAGCAGACAAAAACTTTATTATATAAACAACAGCCAGGTTTCATTTGCCAGTATACTCCCCAATGTCAGCATTCAGAAATTTTAAAGTTATCAAATTTAATTGCCATCAAGTGAGGATTCCTCCCTTATTAACAGACACAACCATAGTTGTTGGTACTCAATAAAGGATTGCTCCATCCTCCTTTGGTTTGTTTTCTATGAACATTTCCTACAACATTCCAGAAATTGCCAAGGCAAAGAAAAGCAGGAATAAGAATCTAGTCATCTGCCTAGACTGAATTGTTGGGGGAAGCTGCAACTCTTTGGAAGAGAAACATGAAACTTTCTTAATCAGCTTTTGCTACAATAATATTGCATGATGACACACAATATAAGTGAATAGATTATAAGAATTCTTGCCTATTACTTGCTCTTGTAACTCAATTGGCTCCAGAAGGAAAGTTCCAGATTCTGGGTTAGGTTCTACTCTAACCTCTGTGTCCTTTACATTTGTGACCAATTTAAAAAAAAATCTTAAAGTGAGTTGATATCCATCCTCTAGGGGTGCAAATTGTACATAATGGGCTGATATGAATATAAAATGTCTAGAAACTCTGTCCCTTGCATAAACAATTTGTTGGCAAACTAAGTCTAATCTGGTCAACCTTGTTATTCCAGTGGCAAAATATATTATTCTATGAGATCAAGAAAAAAACTGAATATTCAAATTATTTCCATGAAGTATTTGACCTGCTCAGAAATGGGTTAATGATATGTGAATGCAGCTAATAACTAATCATTGCCTGTTGTGGCTCATCAAGGATTCTATTAACTGATTAATCTGGAAGGAGACTTGCTCATGTCAGATGCATAATAACATCTTGAAGGGCAAGGTACCCACCTTGTTTCTCTGGCCTTATTTTGGATAATGACTAATATAGTAGAAGTCTAAGGTCCAGGAGTCAAAGGGGTAACTACGCTTTCTTTGCTATTAGAATACCTATCAACTAAGATTAAGGTAGAGGATAATGGGATCGTTGAGAACACATAGTACTTGAACAGAGCACCCCAATAACAACATTCTCATCCTAATGACATTCAACATTGTATATATCATACTAATTACGTGGTGAGGGGGCACAAGGACCCAACTGAGAGCAGCTCATTCCTTAAGATTTCCAGACTCTTCTTCAACAGCTGGCTGCCCGAGAAATTATTGCTTTGTCTACAAATTCTCACCATTGTAATGATGACAGCTTAGGCTACAGGAACAGAATGGGCAGCTGACAGCAGATGAGTGTTTTGAAGAAAGGGAACACAAAAAAAAAGTTAGAAAGAGGAAAAAATAGACTGGCCTGGAGGAGTCACCTTCACTCCCTAATCAGAAGATGTTCATGTCAGGCCACCAGTGCAGTTTCTCTTTCCCCCAAAGCCTACTGAAAACAGGAAAAAAAGAGAGGAGAGCATGGAGTTCAGCTGGCAGACCAGGGAGCCACTTGCTGTTGCAGGGACACACCTGGTGCTAGCTGTGGAAGTGCTTCTCTCTGCTGCTCCATCTGGGAGGTGACTGCTTCACCACAGTCCTCTGAAAGGTAGTAGAGGGAGAGAGGCAGGAGGGGGTCATCCCTGATGTAGGCAGCTGTCCAGATCCCAGAGGTTAGGGATCCAGCAGCACTGGATAAAAATCCCTGATTCTGCTCTGGTGTTAGTCCTTGGAAAGCACCAGGGACAGACACTTAGATGCTGAGGTCTTGGGTGGATCCTGCTTTCTACTCTTACACAGCAGCTGTAGACAAACCCTCTCTGCCCACCTCTATACCAAAGTCTGTCAACTTTGATTTTGTGAGATCTTTGTCCTGCAAGGAATGAAAAGAAGGAGCTTTCATTCCAAAACAATTTATTTCCCTTTTCAGTGGTACTGGGGAGGGCTTGGAGTGAGTGCTTTTCAACAGTGAAATCTGGTTTCAAGTCACAGTGCTAAAAATTCTTCCACTTAAAAGGAACAATCCCTGCAAATGTGTAGAGGGAAGCCTCTGAGGGTGGCCTGGAGACAGTGCACATTGTCCACATGCAGACCACTCAGTGCGCATCAGGCCCCACACACTGACTCTCCCCAAGGGCTTCTTAATGCCCCCAGAAAGATGAGGGGCTTCCCCATCAGGCTCTGTGCAAGTCAGTGAACCCATTTCCGAGGGGACACAGAATTCTTGAGTGGCTTGGTATCCTTGGGAGTGTGGTGACTCACCACTGATGTGGTATTGTGCCAACATCTGTTTTACTGGTAGCTCCTTTGGCAGGGGAAAGTTGTGCTGATGTGTGAGAAATGACAGAGCAACTTCAGATTCTGGTCCTCAGGGTTGAACTTCCCCACAACCAGGCATCTCATCTCACAGACTCCCTTCCCTGCCTCATCAGGAACAGTGTGAGACCTCAATGGTTAATGCAGGAAGAACTGAATGTAGTTTCGATTTCAGTGCTATTTATTTTTACTTGATTTTTGGCTGGTTGTAATATCCTGTTTGGTTTTCAGCTTCTAAGAAGAACGGTTAGTTTTCTGAGGAGCCAGCTGAGGGTGAAACACAAGCAGTGAATAGAGTGACAACTTGTGCGCTGATTGCCACAAACCTGCCAGGTGAGTTTGCTGCAGAACTGACCACCCATGAACTTGTCCCTCAACTAAAAACAACAATGATATCCACTCTGGGGTTCCCCAAGGGAAACTCCACTCTGGGGTTGCACTGGAGAGTACAGGAAGACCTTGGGGGCCACTGGCAGTGGTCCCAAGCCATTTGTCTAAAGGGCTCTGTGTACTCCCAGCTCAGCTGCTATCTCTGCAGAAGCAGCAGCCTGGGGAAGTGTGCTCCCTCCTCCTGTCCTCAGTGGTCTCCTGACTTATTCCTATACCTGCCCTCAACACAGTCCACGAGAACCTGCATTTTCTCTCATTTTCCTGGAGGCCTTACCTTATTCCTTGCTTATGTTCTTCTGAGGACTTCTCATTATCAGATAAAGGTTGATTATTTTGTTCAGTATCTGTTTCCCCAATGGAACAGAGATCCTTGAGACAGCAATTTGCATTCACTTACTAAGTTCCTTGATAATGGATCTCTAGAACAGTATCCAGCATGTGGCAAGTATTCAAAAAAAAAATTACTTGATTTAATGAGAGAAGAAATTCTTTTGTAATGCCTAATAATATTTCTAACCACAGTTCCCCTCTACCATTTCTCCTTCTGCCTCCACTTATCCCCAAATGTTAATATTCTCAGGGCTCTGACATCAGTGCTTTGTTTTCCTCAATCTATTCTGAAAAATTTCAGGCAATGCTTCTTGTATTCTCTCCACATTTTTATAATTGATGCATTATAGATGTACATAATAATGGCATTCATTGTTAAATATCTGTACATGCACACAATATAATAATATATTTGGGTCAATTTAACTCCGCAGCACTCTTCTTGACCTACTCAGTTTGACTTATTTTGCTTAACATAATGGTCTCATGTTCTATTCATTTTTCTGCAAATGACATTCATTTTTATGGCTAATTATACTCTCTTTATTCATTCATTTGTTGATGGATACCCAGGCTAGTTCCCTAGTTTGGCTATTGTGAACTGTGCAGTTATCAATATGGTTATGGGTGTATCACTATAGCATGTTGTTGAGAGCCACAGCCGAAGGGGCCCCAGCAAACTTTCAGACTGACAGCTGATGATTGGCTCACAGTGGCCCCAGCAACTTCTAGCTGATTGGCTCCTCTGTGGTGATGCTCATTGAGCTGTTTTCCCTGCCCTTTCAGACTACCAGCTGATGATTGGCTCACAGCGGCCCCAGCAACTTCTGGCTGATTGGCTCCTCTGAGGTGATGCTCATTGGACTGTTTCCCTGCCCTTTCAGACCACAGAGCTGCTCATTGGGGGACTTTTTTGGCTCCGCCCACACGACCCAGTCAATCTGCCGCAAGAGCAGGAGGAGTAGGGGAGGTTGAGAGGCTTGTGGGAAGCTGGTGGTGGCAGTTGGGCTCTGAGGGTTTTTCCTGAGGAGCTGTTTTGCTTGGCATGTGTGGTTGTAAAAATAAAGTTCGTTTCTTTTGACAAGTGGCTCCTGAATTGTGCCCAGCCAGACTGTGGCATTTGGTGGCTCGCACGGGGAGCAACTGAGGGTAAGTGATAAGGTAAACTGCTCACCCCTGAGGGCAGGGCAAGAGGATGGGTAGCCATTTTAAGATTCCTCTTTTGTTTTGCTTCACTTTTGTTTTAAGTTGCCTGTCCCCGGAGATGAGTGAGACGGAAGAAATATTGCTCACATCTGAGGAAAAACTATTTACATCTGAGGAACAGATAGGGAGAAAGGACGGATGCACATTTCAGGAGGATAGAAAGGCTATAATGATTTTTTGTTGTTCCATTTTTATTTCATTCTGTCTCGGTTTTGTTTGGTGTCATCTTGTTGGGTTGTATTATAGTAGAAATATGGGATCAGAAATTAGTAAAAAACAAACCAAAAGAGTGTTAAGTAAATTGTTAGAGGAAGGAGGCATCCCAGTAAAATCAAGAGCAGTCAGGGCATACGTTGATACAATACAAAAATGTAGCCCATGGCTTTTTGAGGAGGAGTTGTTGAATATATCACAATGGAACCATCATGGTGAAGATTTAAAAAAAATAGAAAAGAACAGCCCAATTTATACACAATGGAGTATTACTCTACATTAAAAAATGACAAAATCATAGAATTTGCAGGGAAATGGATGGCATTAGAGCAGATTATGCTAAGTGAAGCTAGCCAATCCCTAAAAAACAAATGCCAAATGTCTTCTTTGATATAAGGAGAGTAAATAAGAACAGAGTAGGGACGAAGAGCATGAGAAGAAGATTAACATTAAACAGGGATGAGAGGTGGGAGGGAAAGGGAGAGAGAAGGGAAATTGCATGGAAATGGAAGGAGACCCTCAGGGTTATACAAAATTACATACAAGAGGAAGTGAGGGGAAAGGGAAAAATAAAACAAGGGGGAGAAATGAATGACAGTAGGGGGGTAGAGAGAGAAGAGGGGAGGGGAGGGAAGGGGGGATTAAAAAAAAACAGAACAGCCCAGGGACTCTGCCAGTTGGCATATTGCCATTGTGGACGTTCGTATCTTGTTTGCTTAGTCCAAAGCCTTCAATTCAGACAAAGGTAGAGGAAGGAGAAGACATATTGATTCAAGTAAAAGAGAAGGTCTCTCTAGTTAGTCAGAAAGAGGAAAAGATTCAAGTAAAAGAGAAGGTCTTTCAAGCTAGTCAGACAGAGGAAGAAAGTTTAGAGCAGAAAAAGCCATCAGGGGAAAAGTTACAACAGGAGACTGCTACTAACACCTTTCTATCACCAGAGGGCATAAATGTCCAACCAACAGCACCACTTCTACAGGAGACTGCTACTAACACCTTTCTATCACCAGAGGGCATAAGTGTCCAACCAACAGCACCACCTCCATATGCTGGGAGGCTCCCAATCCCCGCAGTTGATAGTTGGGATCCTGAGACAGGATCTCAAATATTAACATGCCCTGTATTTGAGGCAGGAGGGCAGTGAATTCGCCATGCTTTAAATTTCAAAACAGTGAAGCAGCTAAAAGAGGCTGTAACAACCTATGGTCCTCAAGCACCCTTCACTGTAAGCTTGGTCCAATCCATTAACAACTTGAACATGACACCAGCAGATTGGGCTAATATGTGTAAAGCTGTGCTAAATGGAGGACAATACCTGTTATGGAAGGTTGCCAATGAGGAATTTTGCAAGGAGATGGCTAGGCAAAATGTAGCAGCTGGTTATCCTCAGAGAAATCTAGATATGTTGTTAAGAAAGGGACCTTATGAGGATCAGCAGCAACAAATTGCATATGATCCTGGCGTATACACACAAATTGCTACAGAGGCGGTTAGGGCATGGAAGACTTTACAAGGACATGGAGGTTTACAAGGTCAATTATCTAAGGTAATACAAGGAGCTAATGAATCTTACGATGAATTTGTAGATAGGCTTATTCAAACAGCTACCAGAGTTTTTGGGAATACAGAACAAGCAATGCCATTAATAAAACAACTGGCTTATGACCAAGCGAATCGTTGGTGCAGAGAAATCATTAGACCATGGAAACATGAAGATTTAAACACATATATTAAATTATGTAGAGACATTAATGAACAAGAGCAAGTCATGGCAGCTGCAGTAAAACAGGATTTAGATGCCAGAGATATTAATGAACAAGGGCAAATTGTGGCAGCTGCAGTAAAACAGGCTTTAGATGCCAGGCCAAGAACATGCTACAATTGTGAACAAACAGGACATTTTAAAAGGAATTGCCCCATAGGAGGAGGGTTTAACAAAACTAGGTATCAAAGGAGTAGAATACCGGGTATCTGCCCACAATGCCATAGAGGGAGACATTGGGCTAATGAATGCCATTCTTAAACCACCATAGAGGGTACTCCATTATTAAAAAATGAACAAGGACCAGGTGTTTATCCATGATATCGTGGAGAAAGGCATCGGGCTCCATTGCCAAAAAATGGACAGGGGGACCCAATGCTCCGGGGCCCAAAACCACAAATATATGGAGCACTGGAGGAACCCAGCAACCCCATCAGGGTAGTGTCCAGGACACATTGTCCATCAGATCCCTCATCAGACAAACCAGAGGGAGCACAGGGTTGGACATCTGCGCCTCCACCAGATCAGTACTAACTCCAGAGATGGGAGTTCAAATCATTCCCACAGGGGTAAAAGGACCTCTTCCCAAAGGAACAGTAGGCTTATTATTGGGACGCAGCTCTTCTACTCTAAAAGGACTTATGATAAGTCCTGGGGTAATTGATCCTGATTATGAAGGTGAAATAAAAATTATAGCCAGTTCTCCAAAGGGTATATCAGTAATTTCACCAGGAGATAGAATAGCACAGTTACTAATAATACCCAGCCTACATGATAAATTTTCCAGTCGTGCTGTAGAAAGAGGTTCTAAGGGATTAGGCTCCACAGGTGTAGATTGGGCTATGTTTTCTTTAAATTTAGATTCTTGCCCCATGCTAAAACTAAATATTCAAGGACATGAATTTAATGGGATACTGGATACAGGTGCAGACCTTAGCATCATCTCTCGTCAAGAATGGCCAAAACATTGGCCATTACAACAAGCCACTCAAACACTTTGAGGCCTAGGAGTGGCGACTAATCCCCATAGAAGTGCAATGGTATTAGATTGGAAGGATCCTGAAGGATGTGAAGGAACTATACAGCCATATGTATTGGATCATCTTCCCGTAAATTTATGGGGACGAGATGTCCTAGATCAATTAGGTTTGACATTAACAAATAACATCAACCAAAATGCACCCACTATTATGACTAGACAAGGTTTTAGGAAAGGAAAAATATTAGAAAAACAAGAACAAGTTATAGCAGCACCAATACAAATAGATCAAGGAACAGACAGACATGGGTTGGATTTTCAGAAAGGGCCACTGAGACAATAAAAATTATTTGGAAATCAGAAAGACCAGTATGGGTTCCTCAGTGGCCCCTGACTAAAGAAAAGATACAAGCAGCCCATGACCTCGTCAAACAACAATTAGCAGAGGGACATATA